CGTCCAAAATTATATAGACAGTTCACCTCTTCTGCTTTAGTGCTATTTACAGATGGACACGACTATTTACAATACTATATAAAAAACCTAGTTGTTGTCAAAATACACACAAGATCAAGCACTGCAAGTTTGGAGGCTGAAGACAGATCTGCTGCCAGGGGAACAACTGCTGGAGACGGGCTTTTTGAAGCAGCCAGTTGATAATGGGGGCCAATCAGCAGCCGCCAGACCAAAGCCAGCCCAAAACAGCTCAACCAATCAGGAGGACCTGGAGAGACTCTTAAAGGCACAGAAGACACATACAAAACAGTCCAGAGATGCTGACACACACTAATTCAAAATATGGCTGTATCTTGGGTCCACCTTTTTAAGTAGTTGCTTAAAGCCCTGCCTTAAGCAACTACTTAAAGCAGCACCATTAACTCCATCAGTAATCCATACGCGATTTATTCTTCCTCTCATATGGAATGCAGATAGCAAGCGCTCCGGCAGTGCTGGGTTTGAGCCATTTATTTATTTTTTTATTTATCTTTCCATGCTATGTGTTTTTGCCTCAAGTGGTGAAACAAGTTTGTTTCTTCCACTTTTAGCAGGAAGATCTTTCTTGCATATTTTGCATTGTTGGGGTTGCTGAAGTAGCTCTCTGTTTAGGCTCTCAGATATGCCTGTCTTGTCATTCGTGATAGGGAACGTAAATGCACAGTGCTCTACCATTAACAGTAATGTAAATATAATTTTTTTTATCATGAAAAAGTATATCTGTTTTTCAATAAATTAATAATATTTCCAAAGTTACTGACCAAAAATAATGGCGATTATTATTTTTGCTTTAATTGAACTCAATTACATGTGCCAACAAACATGTATGAATGTTTTTTGGGAGGTATACATCCATTAGCTGCAACATTAAAATCACTTGCCTAATATTATGTCTCAGCTCTGTTCTGACAGGACATGCTGGCAGAACCTCTGGGGGTGTCCTGGTTGTCACTGGAATGTTGGCAGTGATTCCTTTAGGATTCTGTGTGTTACTGGATGCAGGCTGTGGAGCAGCGCATCCATAGACACTTGATCAGGTTAGCATCTTGTGCTGCGAGAGCCTGCTCTTATTGGGGTGTGCCATTGGCATTTTAAGATTCATAGTACGTATGTGTCAAATTAACATTCACATAAGTAGTCAGACTTAAGGGTTACCAGGAGAACACAGAATGATCCATGTTATTCACCTGCACATTTTTTTCCCAAAATATCCCTTTTTGCTTTTCGCTAAAACAGAGTAGGGTCTTGATAAGGATTATCAGCTATGATGACTTGGATCTCAGAGGGTCACACTAACTATATTACACTATATGTAACACTGTTGTATCTAAAAGATAATCAATGTTTATCATAATAATATTAAATAGATCGATGTAGCTTTAACACAAGTAGAAATAAATGAAGCTTTAATGTGCAAATATTGGCTAGTAGGTGGTTATGTTTATGGTTAACAGATAGAGTGCTTAACAAATTATTGATGTTATAAATTATACATGTCAAAAACGTGTTTGAAGTTAGACATGACTTTAATCACTGAGCTGAGTTAAATTAGTTATTAAATTAAACCCAAACTTGACTACCATTAAAATGAATTTTCTGCTGCAAGTAAACAGCAATTTGACATTTGAATTGAATTTGAACTGTAAAACAGTACATTTGGAAATTATTATTACATGAAACAGCAATAGTTATATTTTATTAGTAAATACTTTTTAATCATCTTTAAAGAGCTTGCGCAAACTGGGGGATGAGCCATTAGAGAAACATCAAAAATTAAATATGTAATTTTTAATAATGTTAATAAACCTTACATTGGGTGGTGATCTAATAAATTTGTTAAGCAGTGTATATGTAGAAATCTTTCTCTTAGAAATAATCGTCCAAATACAATGTTTTAAATTTACCCTCTTCTCCCTCTATAGTTTGACCACATCGAGTCATTACTTATATTGATCTCCCTTCTTCCAGTCTACCACTTTGTAAACTTTGTGAAGCAATATTTAAGACTCTATTTTAAAGTTTGTCTGTTGCCAATATTCTAAAACAAACAAATTATTCTGGAGTTCTCTTCACTTAGACACTTTTTTAAAGAAAAAGCAATATCCTGCAGCTACTCCCAAATGCACTTGCAAGCACATACAGATGCCCGCTTGATTACATAAATACATATACATGCGCCCATACACACACACACAAACACATTGCATTTTATGAGCTGGTGTTTATCCAGTGGTCAGACCAGGCTCTTTTTAATGTGCGTGAAGCCCAGCAGCCTTGCTGTTAGCTATTAAGATCAGCATTACAAGAGCTTGCATTCATGCACACAACGCACATGCATGCACACCTCATAAAGGTAGCATTATGGCTTTGCAAGGTAGATGAAATATGCTTTGTTTTTTGTTGCTTTTTTTAGTGACAACCATGTGGACCAGGCAGGGCTAGTTTTGGGGCTATGAGGCTCAGAATATAGGGCATGGGATTTAGGCTGGCGCAGGGTTTGGACTCTGCATGTGATCGGGTGACTGTGGAGGCTGTTTGAGTAAAGCAAACTCATCGTTATGTTAAGAAACCAGTTTGAAATGATCTGAGCTTTGTGCCATGGCTGTTATGCTGCACTAAGCCAGCATAAGATAGATACACTGTGTCATGAAGGGATGGACATATTCAGCAGAGAGAGTACATCCATGGAGAGTAAGAGAGAGTAAGAGAAATCAGGTGAAAACAAACAAACAATGAAAACCATCCACTGCAGCTGCTGTCTGCTCTTTTTGTGCTACTTTTTGTTAACTTTTGTTCTCCCTTCTTGGTGAACTTAGCTGTTGTTCCCTTTCCAGCTTTTCAACCGGTCAGCATTGGCTCTGTGCGCAGCATCATCTGTAGTGACATTCACTGCTTAGTGGATGTTTTGTGCTTATGCGTGTGTTTGAAGTGAAGCACTAAAGAAAGGACTGCAGAGGCTGGAATAGAAATTAAAAGGTAGCCAAGCAACAGGGATAAGCACACATGCACATTTTTCCTCTCCTTTCCATCTTTCCAAGGGGACAGGAGTAGGAAGACGATACAACCAAAATACTGAGTTCACAGACAAGAATGCCTGGATGATGTTAGGGGCACATGTGGTCGTGTACCTATCTCCAGACTCCACTAGTTGTTAGTGAGGTATTTTAATAGATTGCTGTCTCTATAAAGCTGCCTTTGATCATGCACTCAGGCTGTACATGAATCTTGATTACACTGGAAAAAGGACACCTGATCACACTCCATCTGTCTCCCTGTGCCAAGGAACATTGCAGTTTTGTTTACAATGTTTACTGATAGATGTTAGAAAGCTAAGTATAGCACTCAGTTTGAGATTGAAGTGCAGATTTTCAGCTTTTAATTTGTTGTTTTTTACATCCCTGACTGATACACTGGCAAGTTAAAACACTTTAACCTGTGTCTGACTTCCTTCACTGCTCGGGCCATCACATTAAGCATGTTACTAAAATGCAATCTAACACTTTCCCTAAATGGGGTACTGCATTCATTTAGTTTAGTCTTTTTTTTCTTTTTTTAAAGAAAAGCTGGGCTTAGAGATTAGAGATTCAGGTTCTCAGGTCATCATCAATGATAATTTAGACCTAACAGAGCTGTGGGTGATTGGTGTGCATAATGTAATAAAAGTTAAAAATTAAAATTAAGTATGAAAGGCTGAGTGAAACAGTGTTTGAACTCATGCAGAAAAGACATAGAAAGTGTTGGTGTGCAAAGAAAAACATATGTGCTCTTTACAGTACATAGTTTCTGATCACACACCTAGACTGCCGGTACTTACCGACGGTTGCCATCGAGGCAGACAGGCGTATCTCGGTCGTGGCTGGACTTCTTACCTCTCTCTCACCACTCCCACGGTGGGAGATGATGGGAGCTAAGAGGAGTGGGACAATTTGAGATCTGAACCTGGTTTAACTGATTGTGCTGTTCCATGTGTACCCCCAAAATGCACCTCATAAAGTTGCCACTCTACAAAGCCGAACCTCCTGTGGGACATCTGATATTACTGCGTACATGTGTGGGAGCAGGTGGGGGGTGGGGGGGTGTATGTGTGCAGCACATACAATTCTTGTTTGTGTGCTGCTGCGTATTTGCTAACGTGTGTTTATACTCACATGCGCCCCGTGCACTGGGGCAGGCCATAATTAACTCCAGATGATTTTGAGTGCCTGCCAGCTTCCCAGAATAGCAGCACTGGTTTGCAGCCCTCCAACTGGCCTTGGCAAATATTTTAGCAACCCCATGTTTACCTTCACACTCTACACTCTCACTCACTCAGAGCATTCCTCATTCCAAGCGCCTCTCTATCAGAAATAATCTGCTTTTTCATCATTTACCCCCAGTGGCCGGTAGCACAAAGTAAACTCCTCCACAGCACCTAAATTGGGCAAACTCAACAGCACGCTGCCCACACATAATGCTGCTGCAAAAGCTCTCCTGCTCTAATCATGATGCATTTATTACTGTCTTACACAAAGCAAACCCCTGCATTGTGTGTGTTGTGTATCGCTGATGTTTTACTCACATAAAAACTCAGGTAGCAGGGCATTCCACTGATCGACGGGTTTGTCTAATGAGAGTTCTGCTGAGGCATGACTTGGCCTGCTGACAAGCATCTGAGATCTGAAAACCAACAGAGGGATGGGGTGTTATTATAATACAAGCATGCACATTGAAGGTGGTGTTGTTAAAGCTGTGTCAAGGCATTAATTCCTCTCCGTGGAAACGCTAATCTGTTTTCCCAGTGTGTCTCAGAGGGATAAGTCCTCTGCTACCTTTTTAACCCCACCCAAACTAGAGGTGGATGTCAAAGCTCGATGAGCGATGATCTTGCTTATGACACCGGTTGGTGTACCTTTGGTTCTGTGAAATCGAACAAGTGGCAGACTAAACTTCTTTGTCTTCTCTTCCTCGTGTTTTTTTTACAGTGCCGTCCGTCCAAAGGCAGGAGGCGGGGCTACTGCTGGTGCGTGGACAAATATGGGCAGCCTCTCCCCGGCTACGATGGCAGGCAGTGGGGCGAGAAGCAGTGCTACAACCTGGAGAGCAAATGAGAGGATGGAGGAACAAAAAGTGGATGGAAAGGGGAAGACGGTGTAATATGGGGGAGGGATGGGCGAGGGGGTGAGGGGGGCGAGAAAGAACGAGATCCCACTGTGCTCTTGCATTTAGTTTTATGTAAACATCTGAAGGAACTCTGGACCTCTGATTTCAGGTCCTGCTTCTGTTGGAGGGAGGGAAGGGGGGACTAGGGGAAGGTGAGGGGGAGGGGTAAAGGATAGCGCACAGCCTTCTGTCCATCACAGCTATCTGTCCTGTGCTAGGGGGAACCACCTCTGTCCTTTTTTTAAAATAAAGGTTTAAGCTGAAAGCTGGGGAGGGGAGGGGGACCCGTCAACTGCACTATTCTTTTAGAGAGAGGAAGGAGGGATTTTTCCACTCACTTTAAAGAGGAGTTGTTTGTGACTGTGACCTGCACCCCCACCTCTTAAAAAACCAACGCCATTGTTTGTTTGTTTGTTTGTTTGTTTGTGTTTGTGTGCCCATCTGCCAGTTAGTAACTGCGTGTGTGTGTGGCTGTGTAATATGCATGCACAGCTGCATGTCTGCATGCAAGTGGCGTGTGAGTTTGTGTGTTTGTTTGTGTAAATACTGCATGTCACTAAACTCAGTTTAGAGATGTCTGACTGCCTATCCCCAGGCCCTGCTCCATTAAACAATGCAGAAAAAACATAGCACTCTGGCTCAGGGTCCATTATTAAGTGAAGGATTATAAAATATTAGATGGTAGGGCTTTAACTTTTTAGTGCAGCTCGGGGGGCAGCCTTGCTGTTTCTAGTTCCTTGTTACTAACCTGCAGGGCAAAGGGATCGGAGGCAGTCCATGCAGCCACAGTGCCTTAAAAACTAGCCTTTCATTACCTCCTCTTCAGATTCAGCTCTTCCTCTTCTTCAGTAGCATAAAGCAATACTTCACTGAAAAGCTACCTTATGAGTATCGTGCTTGACAATTTTGAGGCTTGCATCTTTGATGAGGAGAGCAGCTATAACTAAAACAGTATACACAAAGATCCTGATACAGTGCCATGAAACAGTATTTTCTCCTTCTCTTCTTCCTTTTTTTGTATATTTGCCATACCCAATTGTTTCAGGTCATCCAATGAATTCTAATATTGGACACAGATAGCCAAAGGAAAGACAAAATGCAGTTTTCAAATAATGTTTTTGTTTAGCAAGGGGAAAAGCTGTTCAAACTTAGCTGCATCTGGGTGCATTTCAATGATATTGGAGACGCAAACCCGAGTGCAGAATTTATAAAATTAGGAGCTGGCTAAGGTGATCCTAATTTTTTTTTTTCATTGTGGAAAACAAAAGTTTTCAAACTTTTCCAGGCCTTAAACCTGATGCGCATTCTCCCTCATAGTAAATCTATAAAAACAAGGCGTTTAGGAAAACAGTGAATAAAAAATAGCTTTTCTAAAAAAGACAAAAATTGCAGTTCAGTATTGAATATTACATAAAATAACCTATATATAAAGTTTCTTTTAATGGCAGAGATGCGGAAATGTGTGCATGTAGCACAGAGCCGTGGCTCAGTGTCTAAGTGTCTTAATGAAAATGTGCCTTGAAGCTATTTAGAATTCTTATCTTGTTTGATCTGCTGCTCACCATAAACAAGCACAAACAGAAGTTTTGGATTTTTAACTGTATTTTCATAAGTTTGACGGCTTTTCATATTGATAAAAACCTCCTGTTTTGGCCATTCATACTAAAAAAAAGTAATGGAATTTCTGCTCTTCTAGAAAATCCTGGATGAGAATTTCCGACCATCAGTTCGTGCCATGTGCCCGAAGGGCACGTAAGGTAATGCAGCAATACAATACATTCAGGGCACCCCAGCAAGTCCACCTCTGCATGGCTCAAGAAAACAGTGGACTAGGAGTGGACTAGTCGAGGTCTAGTCTGATTAAGATGCTTTGGCGTGACCTTAAACAGACCATTCATGTTCGAAAACCAGGGCTATCTCTGTCTAACATTAAAATTGGTTAAGTGTGATTAAAATGCAAAATAACAAAAAAAATCAGGGGAAAAAAGTTTTCATGGCACTGTAAACTTCTTAAACTGCTTTTGAAGGAAAGTCCAGTTCTTCGGGACACATTTTAAGAGTGTAAACTTATAGTTCTATTGGATGCTAAAGCTACGTTATTATTACGTTATATCTACAGATGCTGCTTGGCCAAGGAGACAATGCAATAAAGCTCCTGGAATACAGTTTTTGTTCTGTTAATGTCAAGTGATCACAGAATATGTAAGAGGGAAGATTTTCTGACTCAGTATATATTTTGTCTTGTCTCCCTCCCATCACCCCCAAGTGTTCATGGCAGATGGCTGCTCCTTCCCGAGCTTGGTTCAGCTCAAGGTTTCTTCCTGTTAAAAGGGAGTTTTCCTTTCCACTTTTGCCAAGTGCTTGCTCATATGGGGTCATCTGATTTTGGGGGTTTTCCCTTTATTATTGTTGGGTTTTTACCTTGGAGTATAAAGTGCCTGATGTGACTGTTGTTGTGTTTTGCAACTATTGAATTGAATTGAATTGAATTGAATGGAATTTCACAAGCTTCTGAAAACACATCCACTAAATTGGCATAAAAAGAAAGAAAATGATACTTTATGAAGGTTGGTCAACTCTTTTGTTGATGTGAAAAGCCAACCAAAGTGAAAATGACAATGGGAATGAGCAGTGGAAAGATGGCTTATGTAGCAACAGCAGGAATGGTTAGTGGAATTTTGCATATTTTTTTGGTAACTGCAGCTGCCAGTCCCTGCAGCAATAGCAAGTCACAAGCTCTTCAGAGTGTCCTGTCATGCTAACAGGTTCACGTTTGATATCTGAAAGACATGTTTTCAGAGGAGTATTAAGCACTTGCATGCTGCTCTGCAATTTTAGGGATCACTTTGGCTAGTTTAACTTCTCGTCTTTCTTTTTGGTGCCCCTGCTGTTCTTGTCTTCATCCATGTCCCCCTTTGGCCTTCAGCCCCTCTGTCATACATCTTCTCACTTAGCCCATCCAACCCTTCTTGTCTTCACCCCTACTGTTGGAAGGTTTGTCCAATCCGTGTGCCTAATTTCCTCTCTCCAGCACCCTGCCCACCTCCAGTACTCCTCTCTTGTCAGTGATGCAACCTGGTGTAGGTTTTTTTTTTTTTAATCGGGGTGAGCCCGGTATGACTGGCTTGCATTGCCACAGGTGCCAGCTGCCCCTCATGCTTCAAGCACAAGCACTTAAAGCACTTTAGCTGCACTGCTACTTGTCAATGCATGCAGTTAAAGACAATTGGACCTATCAGCATCTGCATTCCTTTCCTAGGTAATGTCAGATGAAAGAGTGTGATACAGTTTGAAAAACAACAACAACAAAAAACAATACTAACCTATGGAGGAGGAGGAAAAAAATGTAAGAAAGAAAGAAACAAAACTACACCAGGACTTCTGACAGCAAACTTAGAGATCAGCCCCTTTAGAAGTTTTCCATTCAATGCAACTATTTCTTTTCTCTTTTCTTTTGGTTGTTGTTGTTGTTGTTGTTGTTTCTTTGAAAAAACTTGCTTGTATGATCGTACGCCAACAAATCTCCACAAGGTGAACACGGCACCAAATATGCATTCACACAAGTGGTAGGGGGTCCGAGGGAGGAGGTGTGGTCCTCCTCGAGGAGCTTCCTGCCCTGATGCTCTCCTGCGTCCTGTGTAAAGACTTGAAAAGTGGAGAGAGCGCCGACAAAGAATGCTTGCCCAGTAGCTTGGTAGCATAAAAAACATCGGCTGTAAACTTCCTCTAACAGACAGCAACATCTTAGAACCAGCCTGTTGGTGCTATATCCAATCTATTCAAAGACTTGATGTTAAGGGGGAGGACACACATAAAAATATGTTTAAGCTATTCCCTCCCTAATATTTGTGTCTTTTTATATATTATTATTATTATTATTATTATTATTATTATTATTATTATTATTATTATTAGTAGTAGTAGTAGTAGTAGTAGTAGTATTAGTATTAGTATTTCCTGGCCAGCTTTGTGTCTGACTAGACATCATGTACAGTACGTAAAAATAAAAAAACCTTATTTATATAAGAAAGAACTATAAGCTGATCCAAACTTCTTATGAACACCAGTGACTCACCAATTGCACAGCAAAAGTATATGATTCAGTGTACTTTGGGGAATATAATCACTAATGAATGTTTTCTTCTTTTTTTAAATCAACCTTTTCCTTCTGTTGCTCTTTGGATAGCTCTGTGCACATCTACATCAGTCAGACATTCAGATACATCCTCATCGTAGTTCACTGCTTCTTAAGGCCAGTGAACCTCTCACCTCTCAGTAAGTCAGTTCTCTCCATGCACACCCAGCCATCCTGCCCCAGTCTGTTAGCAGAGCCAGGGTCACACTTGTGTAATGTCACCTTTTATCTTTTCCTTTCTTGCTTTTGTTTTCTTCTTGCTGGTAAGACTCTTCTCTGTTCACGGGTAAATGTATTCAAGTTTATCATGCAATGATTTTTTTTTTTTTATCATAGCTAACTAGAAATCACACAGCTATTATTTTTCTCTGAGAAAGGAGATGATTTTGAATATTTAATGTCTTTTTTTTTAATAAAAATGCAACACATTTTAAGCTGCTGCCTCAGTTGTGTCTTTTTCCCCACTTCTCTGACTTGTCTTCATCTTAATTTCAGGAACACTATTTTTTTTGTGCTCCTGTTTTTTGAATGCAGTTGGGCTCCCTTCAGTCTTGGAATGTGTCAATAAGGATAAAGCAAAGGTTCAATTTGTAAAGAACAAAAATAAATGTGGTGGTGCCAGGCAGGCTGGCAGTGGGCATGAGAGGTTGAAGCAAATTCCTGTGCCCGACCAAGGCAAACAGAGAACAGGTCAAAAGGCAGCGCAGAGCTGCTTGTCCCAGAGAACCGGCTAAAGTTAGAAAAAGGACCTCCACTTTAGATCACTGTGATAACACTGCTCACAAACACACACTGAATATAGCAAAAGTGGTCCGGGAGAGCATCGACACAGCCTCTGCCAATCATGTCCTGATGAAGCTGTTATTATTATTCTCATGTTTTCTCCACCTTACAGTGCACAAAACAAGCCTGCTTGTGGGGAAAGAAATGTCAGGAGCACATAGCTGAGGTTAATGTTTTTATTAAATATATCACCATTTTTTCTCTCTTTCTCTTATATCTCAATTACAAAAGTGTACATACACACGAGTGAGCAGTTAGTCACTTTGGAATAGACTCACATAAACAATAATTCTCTCTCCAACAGCAGCATGTGGCTAGAGTCGAGCCAGCGCACACAGCAGGGCTCTTTTTTTCTCTCTTTTTTTCTTATTGGTCAGAGAGGAATGGCAACATGTATAAAGTAGCAAATCTTTTTTTATGACATCTACACAGGTGACAACAGACACGTAAATATCGGAGGTAGGTAAATGTTGAAATACCCGTCTGAGAGGCGGCGAATGTGAGCAGCCGCCGCCTGTGATGTTATCTGCATCCCCACGGGATCATGGGGAACGTTTTCTGAGTATTTAAGGAGTTCCCGACTGAGAATTTTGCATTCACTGACAAAAAATAATAAAAAGACAGCAACAACACAAAGACAAAAACGAGGACAAACTGGAACATTAAAAAGATACAGCATTCAGAAATACTTCTAAATGACATTTGGTCACTCAGTGCTTTTGTTCTTGCTTGGTTCATCAAGCAAACCTCCAAACAACTCCTTAAGGGTAGAGCGAGCTCAACTCAGCAATGGAGTTACTTAGGGCCAAGATAGATATATACACTTTATACATGTAGATAAAAATAATAATTATAATATAACAATAACAATAAGGCAACGCAAGATGATATAAATACTTATGAAATAATTACAAATAAAATGCAATACAATTGAAATAAATAAGGCTGAAGAGTAAATACATTAATATTAAAATCTCCTTTTCAGAAAAAACAAAAATATATTTTCTCTCTTTGGGATGGGTGTTTGAAGAAGGAGGAGGTGGGGGGTAGGGGATCGGGGTGGTTGGGACCCACAGTCCCGCAATGACAGTGTACCTGAATTAAACACCACCATGGACAAGAGCAATAAATAAACAGATATTAAAATAAAGGAAACATCAGTGGCTTGCGTCTTCTTTTTCTTCTTCTTCTCATGCGATCCGCTTCAGTGGTTGATCTCTTTAAGGGCATTCGGCACCTGCAGGCAGTTCTGTCGAACCTAAAATCCTCTTGCCATTCCAGGAATTCACACACCAGCATCGACCCCTCTGTCCGTCCAGCGAGGATTCACACTGTGCAGAGAAAGGGAAGAAGAAACCCTCTTATTCAGTGCCTTTGTTGGGTACACACACACATACAAAATCTCTCATTCACCCACAATTATATTACAGCAGGGTATTGGGAGCTCTCTCTCTCTCTCTCTCTCTCTCTCTCACACACACACACACACACACACACACAGTCCTTTTACTGAAGGTACCAACCTGCTTGGGTTTGTAAAGCCCGTTTTTGTCACAGTTGGGGAGGTAGAATCTGGTTAACTTGTCCCCTAACTTCTGCTGGGATTTGGCAATCTTTTCCAAAGCCGTCTGCAGCTCTAGGTGACAGGGCCCCTGCACAGCACACACAGGATGGAGCTGGGTTAATCTCAGTTGATACAAACAAAGTATAATCAGCCGCGTCTCATTATCAGCAAGCACGTGGGCTGACATGAAACGACATATCAAACTTGTAATAATAAGTCTTCAATAAATTCAATAAGTCTGCAGACACACACACACGCACACATTTTCCATTATTTCAAACAGCACACGAGCGCGCCCTTGTGGCGCACCAGCCGTCTCTCAAACCTCCCAAAGAAACTTTCAGCAACACATCGCAGTGAGGATTTTCAGCACAGTAATGCGGACCCAGTGTCAGTACCTGCTCTATCAGCTTCTTGCGGATGGCGATGAGTTTGGCTTTCATGCTCTCCTGAGCGTCGGCGGCAGCCCGCGGGTCGTACGGCCTGCCGTGACCGGGGAGATAGTGGCTGTAGCCGGGGTCCGAGATGATGGCTGCGTTGTCCATCTCCAACGGCTCTGGCTCTTCCTGATCTGGAGAGAAAACACGAATGAATGAATGAATGAATGAATGAATGAATGAATGAATGAATGAATGAGTGCGACTGTAAAAGATCCCAATGTTGAGGGTTTGCTGAGATGATCTGAAACACTGATGGAGAATGTGGAGGTGATAGGCCTTACCTTGTGTCTGGGGCTCGGGGGTGGGCTCGGGCACAGGGCTCTCCGTGCACACGGCTTGTCCGCGGGTGAGGGAGTGCAGAGGCCGGGGGTCGCCGGGTCTCGGCACGCACCTCAGCCCGGAGCCGCACGGCGCCGTGTAGATCCCGCACAGCTCCCCTG